GAGCACAAAATTCGCTGCTCTGTTTTTGATCACCCGACTCACCAGATTTTAAAAGAGTGTATGGACATCATAAATTATGCCATGAAGTAACTGGAGTGATGCCAGTTTTGTTGAGATGAATGAACTCGGGATCCAGTTCTTTTTGCTTTACTTCAGGTAGACACAAACCCAAGTGCTAGTTTAATTTATATGAATGATTCCATGGATTTAACTCTCCTATATTGTGAGTCAGAGAGGCTGTTTACATATCTAAAATGAAAAAAAATTAGACTTTACTTATGATTTGCAAAGTTCAGGTATTGTAGGGGGCATTCTAGGGAGTTCATAGGATGAGTTACATACGTATTTATGTTGGCTGAAGTTAGCTGAGTCCAGGTGAGAAATGTGTGAGAAATTAACCTACTATTCTCTTGTCCTGTGGAGCTTCATATGATCTGTCTCAAAATTGTATAAAATAATTTACTGAGGTAAATTTTGGATTATTCTTTCTTTTCAGTCCAGACAGATCCAGTTGTTTGTAAATCACTAGCAGTAAACTAGAAAATTAAATTCTTTAAATGAAATTAATTAATATTTTTATAGAGATCTCTTAAAAATTCTTACTTTGTTATTTACCTTATGGTGTTTACACAGTATGCATCTTCATGCTGCTGTGTTGTTTCTATTTGCTGTCTAGCTGTGAAGGATAAGAAAACATCAGGGGAACAAATTACAGCTATTAAGTAATGTAACGTGATGATTTGGGATTTCTGCAAGATTATCATTAGCATAAGTTTATATTTAATATAATTAAGACCTACACGAAGTGATTTGATTGAGAATTTTATGACTTACAGTACAGACAAGCTTGGAAGAAGCTACCAAGATTTTCTGTTCTACACATTTCTATTACTGCTATTGAGCTAGATGCTTCAAAATAGAAGGTATTCTGAACTATCAGAAGCCTAATCTTGATACAAAAGAAATACTAAATAATTGGCATTACTTAAGTATATTTTCTACTGTCTCTCCTTGTGACTACCATTTTTTGCTGAAGACAGATCGGAGGAAATAAAATTAAGGTGGAAACGGCTACAATCTAAAAATTGCTCAATATTTTGGCCGTAGTTAGTATGTGTGTGATAATAGCTGAAACACAGATGTTGCCAGCTGTTTAACAACTCCGCTTCTGCACGCCACCTACCTTCTTCATTTCAGTCACCAATCCAGTATCAAGCTCTCTAGGAAGGAATGCTGATATCAGCCTTTTGGAATGTGCTGCAGTAATGCCAGGGAATTGACCTTCAGAAGTGCAGCCATAATTTCAGGTTTGCTATAGGTGGATGTGGAGAGAAATGGGGCTGGGTCAGTAGTTTGTATGCATTTCATATAGGTGGACAAATACCTCGTGGCTCCTTGTACATTCATTTCACTCAAAGAAGTGAAATGAACGTATGAGCATATTTGGGAGCATCTTTGGAAGTACTGGCTCCAGAGAGACTGTTTTGCTTGCCATTCCAGCTGGAGTCAAGCTGCTTGTGTTATGTCTCTCAACACAGATTTGTGAGGACAACAAATTGGGAAGAAATGTGGAAAAAAAGGTTACAGAGCTCAGAACTGTCAGAATTTGATCAGCCTATTCTAGTATGAAGTGGCAGCTGTTTGACTAATAGCTATTATGCAGTTTTTTTGCTGTGGCTGTTGTTACAGATTTCACCTCTAAGCTACTGAGGCATTTTTCCCACCAGGAAAACAAGTAGAAAAATTGAAGTTACTTAACAAATTGTTCATATTTAACATTTATAGTCTCAGAAAATCTTGGTCATAATGACAATAGAATTAACTAATTATGCAAATACATTTCACTGTTACCTTTACTCTTCTTCAAATTGTCTGCAGTTATGACTTCATCTACCAGTTGCATTTTATTGCAACCTTAGTTTGTCAGTTCTCGGGGGTGGTTACCATCTTTTTTATAATCATTTACCCACTTGCAGTGCAGCGGGACTCTTACACTAAAAATTCCTTTTTCTGCTTTGAACTGCTATTTTCATTTACATTCACTTAAACAAGCCTATACTTGTATAAAACTGTGCTTCTTCAGAAAGGAACATGCTTTCATTTCATCCTAATAATCTGTGTAGTTTCCTGTTATTTCAGGTTTAATCAATGTGTTGTTGGAGGGTTCCTGACTGTTAAAGAAGAAATAGAAAAATGTGTCCTTTTTTGACCTGCAGTATTTCAAACCCAGTCATATTCACTTGAGTCCTTGACACACTTCTGGTCTTTTGAAAGGCTCTGTTGGCAATGTATCACTATTTCTGAGATTCTTAGCCAGTTCAAAGATGTGACTAAACCATGTTGCCACAGTGTCACTGCTTGCTAATAGCTGAAAATGACATAGGGAAACAGTTAAGTTTTATTCACCAAAAATGCGGGTGGACCACCGGAATTGGCATTCCCATGTTTGAATTGGCAGCTGCTGACCTGTGCCTTTCCGTTTGTGAGATTTGCTTGTATGATTTAAGTTGGGAATGTTAATTCTTAATTGCTGTGAAATTGCACGCTTTTCTTGAGTTTCAAGTTCAAAAACACTTCATTGAGGGGGTATTCATAAACGTCTTGGAAGAAGGTGGTTGGACCTTAGCTAGCCAGTCTTGGTAGATGTTTCAGGGACTCCAGCCTTCAAGCTAGCTTTCAGTTATAAACATAGCTGCTTGTTTTTACAGTCTCCATAACTTGCTGGTTTTGGAAAGATGGATTTCTTGTTAGTTGCCATTATACACTACTCTACAGGCACTAACAAACTTTTGAAATATTCTTCCTTTCTTTCAAATTAACATCTGTATAGCTTAGGAAATGAAGCAGTGATCAGACTTAATGTATTCGGTTTTTGTTGTTGTTTTAACAATACTATTCCTTGCAAATTTGATCCTCTGATTTAAAACCTGAAATAAGCTGTTACTCAAATAGCAGGTATGGGGATGTAGTGATGAACTCCATTACCAGAAGCCTCTTCCGTGCAGAAGAGCTGTGCATGTTTCTGATCACTAATGAGCACCAAAAAATCAAACTACGAGTGCTTGAAATCATTCCTTTTATTGTTCTGTAAAGAACTGCATGTATTAAAAAAGATTAAATGCCTCTATCTGGAATGTGAAATGTTAATTTTCTGTTTCATAAACGAAGAAGCAAACCTTCAGAATTTGGTTGCCATAACCTCTCCCTACATATACCTTCATCTGTTTATTAGTTAAAGTGGGTGTTTGGTATTGACAGTGAGGATTTTACTCTTGAGTTCACTGACTTTGCTATTGAACACCGTGTGAGTTACTTGCTTCCCTTGCCTACAAGCACTCATGTACTTTTTTCAGTGATCTAACTGTGAGAAAGATCCAAGGCAATCTCCAGTGACTACAGAAAAGCTAGATACGGAAAGGCACGTGTCTGCATTTGCTGAACAAATGTACCAAGGTGGGAGCTGCCTTGACAGCAAAAATTTATTGATCAATTAATAGTGATGCTGAATTAAACGATTCCATAAAAATACTGTAATTAATTTTATATTGATGGAAGGTGCTAGCCGTTCAGGCGCATAAGAACACCAAGTATATCCTCCCACGTAGACCTTTTTGTTGCCATGCTCAGGAAAAGAAAGGTGCTCAATAAAGTCAGCTTCTTAAACTTTGAAGTGTTTTCTTTGTTGTCACCTTCTTTCTCCACTTAATTCAGAAGTAGAAACAGAAAGGTAGTATTTTTTCCTATGATCTTGCAAGTACTGACAGATCATTAGGTTGCGTTCTGCTCAGGTGACTTGTGTGTGGCCATTAGAGTGCATGATTCTAATGTATTTGATAGTGTGGGGTTTAAAGGTTTAAAAACCTGCCTTCTGGAAATTTGCCTAGGATCAGTGTATTTGCTTTGGTAGTGCTGTTGATGGGCTGGTTTTTGGAGGTCTCAGGCCTCTTACTTCCCCAGTTCAAGGAGTTGAACTGAACAATAGCAAAGATTCTCACTGTAGTCTGAGCAGGTGCAGGATAAATGAATGACCATTTGGTGGACTTGAAAGACTTTGGAGATGCCATACTGTTTCTCAGCAAGTCAAAGATTCCTCCTGGTGTTGCAACAGGTTGTATTTTATGTGTAATAGCTGCAATGGAAAGAAGGTGCTATTATTGTGAGGATGGAGTGTGTCAACTCGCTCTTTTTTTTTTTTTTTGTTTGGTTTGTTTTGAGCAGCCAAATACGAAGGAATTTACAAAAGCATGTGATGCTGAGTCTGTAATGTGAGCTTAAGAAAGCACTTCAATACTGAGCTATAATTAGTGTGTTCTTTTATGTGAACTTATCCTTGATTTTAAAAAGTAGATGTGTATTGTACATTGAGTTGTCTGTTTTGTTTTACTTTCTGAAGTGCAAAAACCCCCACGTTCAAGGGAAAAATCATCAAGTTATCACTGTGGAGTTCAGTGTGGTCCAGACAGCCTGGTTGAAGAGGCCAGTGAATGCTTGTCATTTGAATTTACCCAAACTGATTTAAGAAACACATACTGAAACAACAGCAGCTTTGAGTAATATTCTTAAGCTCAGTCTATTGATTTGGTTTTCCTTTTCTTCAACTAAACATATGAGTAAAGTAAAACAAAACAATTAGCTCAGTATAAATTGTGTGTGTTTTTATAAAGAATTGTGCCTCTGGTTGGAAGGAAAACAACCCAGCTGATAGTTGTATAACTAGCTTTTCTGATTTGGCAGCATCTGTAAGTGGTGTGGAACTTGACAGGAGCAAGCCAGCTTTCTGCAGAAGGGATATATTTGGTAGGAACACAAGCAGGCAGAATGCCTGTCGGACTGAAAGGTGATGGAGATCATGGCACCCCACTGGCAGAAACACATCTGGGCCTGTTTAGAAATCCCTGCTGGCTTTTCATGTGAAGTAAAGTCCTTTTCATTCTCCCATCTTTCAGCAAATTGTTTTCCTAGTAAGAATGGACACTGGAGAACAGGAAGCATGTTTGTAATCAACAAAATTCCTATAAATTCTGGGTTATTTTGAGTACCGAAAGTAGGTTTCTATTTATGTTGCTTTATTTCTTGCTGTTTACTTGTTTGTTTGGCTTTGTTTGCATTGTATGTATGTACATATTTAGATGACAGTAAAGCCAGCTATTACCTGAGATTTTTCTTAAGTTTTCTACAAAGTTTGGTGAGTGGGGTCACATGAAAATAGATTTGCTTACAGATTCTTTTTTATTTAGCTACCCTATTGCAAGTATATGCTTAGCGAAGGCATGCATTTATCTAGGATTTATTTTAAGTCTGTTCTTTTTTCAGTTCTTTCAGTGGGGGAAATCTCTCTTCATCCTGTCTGCCTTATATCTGCTAGGAGACAACCATTAGAGACTTTCATGTTAAGAAGGGAAATTGAATTTCAGGGGAAACTTCTGTTAAACTTCCATTTTTTAAAATCATATATTCAATGTAATTCACTGATAGCCTTGTTATCTTCCCTACTCATACTTAGAAGACAGAAACAAACTAAATATACTTCCTTTTTTGATATAGCAGCTACGTTCAGATATGTACTTATTTTTTTGTCTGACATGACATGAGTGAAAAATAATTTGGAAAATGTTTGTCTAATTACTGAGGTTTTGTTCTCAGTTTTAAACCAAAAAAGATGACCAAACTCTGTTGACTGTAGAAACTAAGTCTGGCAAGACAGTTGCTGAATTCAATATCTTAAATACAACATTTTTGATAGAAAATTTGTGATTACGTAATGTACAACTGGATAAAATATTTTAACATCTTAGTTGTCTAATACTATAGTTGCTTAAACTCCATAAACTTACCAGTACAGTGCATGGTTGGGCATCTCACTCCTGTCAATGGCCTATGAAGTTGAAAAATTTTCAAATGCTCTTATTTTGTGGTACAATCTTTTTGGTTTTACTCATTAGAATTTAATTTGGTTTTTAAACACCGGTCTAGAATACAACCACATTACTTAAGATCATTTCTGTGTAAATATATTCTGTTTTCCACTCTGTGGTTTTTTAAAAGGTCATTCAGGATAAGAGTTCATAGAGTTTTCCAGCAGTAGAGAACAAAAATGTATTTAAAAAAAAACCAAAACATTTTGAAGTTTTTGTGGTTATAGTGCCCCCTCTTTAGCTGGATTTTACAGAATACTGATGATCTTGGTGATAGCCTAAGACCCAAACCTGTAGACTTGTTAGTTTTGCCAATAGCATCAAAATGACAGTGTTTTGTTAGGGGGAACTAGACCTTTCCTGTCAAGTTGTCTGCTTATGAAAACATAACATTGACCTGTTTGGTGAATAGGATATTTGAATTTGGTTTGAATGCTTTCTACGCTGATTTAACCTTTTTAAATCAAGTAGATTATTTTTCATCTTTGTGAATGTATGAGTTCTGTTAAACTTATTTCTGTTGTGCAGGATCATTAACAGTGGAATCTCTTACCACAAGAGCGTATGTTGTATATTTTAAGAGGTAATAGTAACATTGTTCTAAGCGTTGAAATTCCTTGCTTTTTGATAGATTTCTTTTGCATTCTCATTTTTTAGGGATTTAACTAGACATCTAAGAAACCTAAGTAATTCTTAAAAGAGAAAACAAAGTTCTGTTAAAATGTATCTCCTGTTGTTTATTTGAAAACCAGCTCTTAATTTAAAAAAATCAGCTCTGTATTTGGCGTAAAGAAATATGATTATGGTTCTTATGGGAAATAGGGTAAAAGTTTTTTTGGAACATTTGCTTGATACAGTACCTGAATTCTGGTGCCTTATTGATAAAGTGGATTTGATGGTAAACAACATCATTGTGGTTTTGAAGTAACTGATGTATCGAAGTTGAGAAATCAGAAGGGTTTTTTTCACTCTATTGGCTTTGAAAATCAGTAACGTCTCTTATGCTTATTACTAAATATATCCTAAATACAAGATACAGAAAAATGCTTTTGACAATGTATTCCTTCCAGCTTTTATAAACTTGCATGTGATAAGGGTCAGTTTTATTATTCCTTTGTTTTATCTTTAACCTTGAATTGTATTAAATAGTTGGATCTACTTCTACAATTTTTTTCATCCTTGCTTTGTTTTTGATAAAACTATAGTGTCACCTTTACATCAAGGTCATTCAACCCTCTAAGCTCTAGATATTAAAGCACTAATATATTTTTGTTGCCATTGATTTGACTGGAAGTTTTAAAGTGAAAGTTGTTGGAAATTCAATATTTTTTTTTTTTTTGGCTTTAGTAGGAATCTCCTTAGAATGATTTTAATGTGAGGAACCGTTAAAAGAACAGACGTAGAACAGGAATTCAGGGCTCCTTTGAATTATGTTTGTCTGATAAGGTAGGGCCATTTGGAAATAGTCTGAGGAGAAATAGGTTGTGTTAGCTTTAACCAACATATAAGAAAGACTGAACTGACCCTTTAAAAGGGGAGAAATGTGGCACCAAAATGGAAAAGAATATAGGTAGAAACCTTAGGAGACTAAGTTTAGGGAAGAAAATGGGTGCTGCAGTCGGGCATTTTAATAGACTGTAAAACCATAGTCTAGAAAGGATATAATCTTGAACAGGAAATAATACAATTTTGAAAGTATATAATTTTGAAAGGAATGTCTGCTATCTGTTCAAGGAAGGATAGCAAGGTTACTAACTCTTTACAAGGCAACCTGTCTTTTTGTATGTAAACAAAATAGACCTTTATGCTACAGGTGAAAGAAGTATTAACATCAAATTTAAATCTAGGTAGTGTGTTTTGAAGCCAGTGTCAATGCTGATGCATTTTATGAGTGTGGTGTGGTTTTTTTGGTCGTCCTCCCCCCCCCGAATTTTATCATTTCACAAATACTAGTTTTTGTGCTCATGAAATATGGCACAATGGTAGATCTAGAGGCTGAAGGCTTTTCCTTATCAATGAAGTAAGGTATAGCCAGACTACAAAGAACATTTCCTCATAATGCTAGAACGTCTCAAACGTCATGCCTTTAATCAAGGTTAGTTCCTTGTCCACACATACTGCCAGTACTGCTATTAGAGTTTGTTGTTAATGAGGTGGTGGATTTCTTTAGAAATGTAAAATGTGTGGGTGCCCATAAGATACATGTTGAGATCACAACACGGTTGTCATGTAATAGTTTTGATCACTTCCAATTTGAACAGGGTTGAGTTTAATCCACTAGAAGTGTAAAGTCTCTTAATATTTGTTCCATTTGTATTTCTGACTGCAAGCCAGTAAAATGATGTTAATTTAACAGCATATTCTAATGTCTATCTGAGTACTGTACTGTGACCCTTTTTATGTTCACTAACAGTGTGCTATTTATTCCAGGATGATGTGATGATGCCACAGCGGGTTAGACTGCAGCACGAAGCTGCCATTCAACACCCAAACAGTGTGAGTACTTTTTTCTTGTGTGCATTTGTGTGTTTTTCTTTTACAGAGTGCTAGATACATCTTTAAAAGGATATGAAAATTTCACAGTAGGGCTGGTGGAGGCAAAGCAATAACCAGTGTATTCTTTTCCCTTATTTTGAATCCTTGCTCTGAATAGTAGCTTTGATTGAACTTCTTTTCTTCCGTTTATTTTCTCTGTTCAGTAAACCAAATCTCATTATGACAGTGATACTCTTTTTCAAATAAGTATACAGGTTTTGCTAATGTATGTAGTCTAAAGGAGAATGCCTTTTTTTATGTAGCCTTACTAAGTAATGTAAAAAGCTGCAAAGGATTGGCTACAGCTATGGTTTATCTGTTTTTATTATTTAAGAAACTATAAACTGTAAGGAATGTGTCGGTTGTTATCATTAATAAACTGACCTACAGTTAAATTGATGTTTCTCCCTATATCTGCCTGCAAAAGAAAACATTTTTAGAATGCCATTCCTTATTCTTGTAAAATAACGGTTGTTATCATTAATAAACTTACCTACAGTTAAATTGATGTTTCTCCCTATATCTGCCTGCAAAAGAAAACATTTTTAGAATGCCATTCCTTATTCTTGTAAAATAAGCTCTCAAAAACATTCTCTGAGATAGTTGGTTTATGGTCTATATGATTTAGATTTTAAATAAATTTCTGTGATTAGGGCCAGTATCCTTTAGAGAGAGTTTGTGTATATGTTCTACTTACCTGAAGATAATACATATAAATAATTTGTTATGGCAATTACTTTATTTGTCAATGTTATTGACATAAATACTCCTTTATAAAATTGAAAACTGAGTTTGTATTTCTATCAGCAATGTTCAGCAAAAATAGGCTTATTGTTTTTACATCTCTGACATTTTCTCTTGTGAAATTTAATTCAATGTGCAAGAGGTTTCTGGAAAGGAAAGGTCAATTGACTTGATCTGTCAAGAAGGTATTTCCTGCAGGTCTCAGAACAAAATAGACAGTTTTAGGATTATCACTCTCTGGGAATTAATCACCTTTTGAACTTTTCCTCTGAAACACACTTGCTTCAAAGTGGAGATCATTGCAGTTGTTTCAGCTGAGGAATGTCTGCCAAACAACCTGCAGTTTCGTGGTGGGCTGTGTACCTGCTCATCACACCACCTGTATTAGGTCTCTTATGAAATCTGATAATCCTTACAATGTAATTTATCAAATTATAGTTTTAGTAGTACCTGAGTAGCAGTTAACCTAGTTCATATTACGAACATAATAAAATGATACATTGAAAGTTGTTTTTGTTCTGATATGAATCAGTTAATGTAATTCTGTAGTAAAATGTCAAAAAACCAGAGAGGCAAGTTGATCCAGTACGCTTGTTTTATGGAAACTAATGTTAAGAGCTATCGTATTTCTTGCTTATATGACTTCTATGTCTGTATATTAAGACTTCTCTTAAATTAGACTAATTTAAACTAAACAGCCTGTAGTCTATTTAGAAAACACGTCAACTGTTTTGTTTCTATTCTGTTATACTTTAGTGCCTAACAACATTCCGTATGAACTATTAAATGACAATCAAATAAGTAATAATGAGTGCCTGAGTAGACTGAAGGGTATGTCTTCAGGATATATTCCAAGCAACACAAACTTGTTCTTTGCATGCTCTAAACTAATCTAAACTTGTGGTCCTGTTTTAGTGTTGTACTACTGGCCTATTTGCAAAGCTTAATTTGAGCGTTGCCCTTTACTAAATAAAACTAGCCAAAGTCAGTCTGATTTAGCATGGGAAATAAGGGCTTCCACCTTTCAGTTATCTGACATATTAGTACGTGAAATCTTCAATTTAGGAAAGTGTAAAAATTCTCAGAAATTAATGGAGAGAAAGACCTGAGATTTTAAACCTTAAGAAAAACAGTAGATGTGTGTGCGCTCCACATATGGCATAGACATAGTACATCTGGGTAGAGCCTGCCTCATGCCATCACTTTCTCTCAACTTTCTGCTGAATCAGAGGGTTTCCTTGCAGCTTTTTGGGCAATGACCTTGGTTTTCTTTTTTTTTCTTTTCTTTTCTTTAAACTTCTACTGGTTTTTATTTTCTATTATTTCTTGCCTTGTGTTGTTACCTTTTAGGTGTAAGGATTTTTGTTCTTGAACCCTACAAAGGCAAAAATGAATCTGTGTTTGAATTGAATGGAACATGTTTTTCCATTTTACAGGTATAGAAAATGTTTGTAATGCCTATGTGGAGTATACCTTCTGGGTTAATGTTGTATTTTACAGAACTCTAACTCAAAGGCCTGAAAGGAGAAATGGGAACATCTGTTCCTGATGAGGAAAATAGATCACTTTGGTCCAGAGCTCCCCAGTAGTTCTGACACAACCTGAGTTACTTTGAGAAAAGAAAAGTTGATCTTCTGGCCACAAATCTACTGACCAATGTCAGGGTGGACTGCTGTTTTTAAAAGAATGGTCTCTCTACTGTCGTCAGAATAATCATGCCATTCAATTTTCTGGCCTTGGAAGATGGTTGGGGATGTTTGAATAAAGTTCTGTTCTGTATTTGAAGTTCTGGCCCTAGCTTCAGTCAGTATGATAAGCCAGAGTAGGTGGAGGAAGGAAAAAAAAAAAAAGCAGAAGCTTGAGAAATGCCTGTGAAGCAGTGAGCTTTTTTGGTTTGTTCCTGAAATTCTAATTTGCAGGCTTGGACTTTCCACTGTTTTGCAACTTCTTCTGACCTGGATTTTTGACTTTATGTAGTCTCAGTGTACTTTATGTAGTCTTAGTGTACTTCCAGAAATTTTGTTCCTAATCCTAGCTTTGCTGGTTATTACTGAGAGCCAGAATTCCCAGTGGGCTCTAATATTGGAGGCTTCAGGCTACTGTCATTGCTACTATAGACTTACAGGTAAGAAAAGTCTCCAACGTTCTCCACCAAAAGAAATCTTCTCCCAGATTTTAACTAATCCCTGAGGTTCTTCCTCTTTCATGTTATTCTTAAATGCAGGTTGCCTTACCCTGACTTGAAGCCTGGTTGCTAAACAGTGGAATGAAAGATAGCAGATGCCTTTGGAATGACTCTCCAACCAGTTGTTCTTCAGAGAAACTGGTGTCTCTATTTCTGAAAAAGCAAGAGGCTTGCCCCCAGGTTCAGGTACTGGAATGTGACTGGGGCAACACTGCAGCAGCCCTTAGCTTTATTTCCTGTATCGTAGACTACTTAATCATGATTTAAAGAGCAAGAGCAAATTAATCTCTACTCTCTTAAGCTATTCTTATCTTGAAGACTTTTTAAAAAAAAAATCTTGTAGGATGGAACTGTTCTGTCATCAGTAACATTTAGAGTGGAGGATTTTGGATCTCAAAAGACAAATTACCAATATGTTATGATTTTACTAAATGCAGCTCTCTAGAACCACTGTCATCTTGTCCTCTGGTGAATGTTTTACGTTATATCCAAGTCCTGTTGACAGGGATTCTATAAATAGTACACTCTTAGAAGATGCAAGTTTTGAAGACTTTGCGTATTTATACTACAAATTCTTAAGCTCTGCTAGCTCAATATGAACACCTACTTTTAGCAGTTTGAAAGCTTAGGGACATTGTACTGTCTATTGATAATATAATAGCTACCAAATAGCTTTTGGGACTGATCGTCCAGTGCACATGTGCGCTTATGTTATGCTGCATATAAGTGTGCCTTCAAATTGCTTATACTCAATCAGGTAAGGAATGAGTTTGTTACTAGAGAGTGAGCGACTGTTACTGAAATTTCTCGCTTTAGTTTTTGTTTATCCCTAGAAGCAGCATCTATCCCATTTCTCCAGAGTAAGCCAGGTGTTGCTTATTTACCAACCACAAATCATGTATGCTTTCTGGCAGCTAATGAGTGGGAAGATTCAAGATCACATTTCCCTTAATTCTGAAAAAATCGGGCCTTCATATCTTATTTTAGTTACACTTGTGTTCTTCTGGAGGAGATCCAACTTTGTGTACATACTAGTGTTCTATTGAACACGGCTTCTGAGTTTGGAGTAGCCCAGGAAATGTGCAGTTTCAACATTATTTCCCAAACCACACACACAGTCTTTCACACCTATGTCCCACATTTATTCTGTTATTTTATCTGAGCAGAGTAGTACACTTTAAGAAGCCCCAAACCTTTTTGTTTCAAGGACAGATGAGACTGTTAGCAGTATCTGCTCCCAGGTTGTCTTGTTGCAGGGCATTTGCATCATGACCTGCTACGGGCATGCCAAGATGAAATCACTGGATGTGGTTTGAGTAGAGAGCTTGAGTAGTGTTAGAGAGCGTCTCTGGAAAGTGCTTCATTCCTGAGATGCATAGTGTACCTGGCCACACTTTGCCAAGCCACTGTGCCATTGTGGAGGCTTTCAAGAATGGTGCAGCACTTGGAATACTCTTCCAGTTTTTCTTTTTCCTATGGATTCCAGATGTTGGAAGGAGAAAAGAAGTGTGCTAAAACAATATGTGCTACTGTTCACACTCAAAACCTGCTGACCTTCTCATCTGTCTTAGAGCCATACTGAATGATTTTGGACACCATTTTGTCTGCTGGGCATGGTGTCACTTTATTCTTCCTCTCACCATTGTTTAATTTGAGTATACGTGTGCCCCCACAATATGACTGTGCACATGAACAGCATGTGGCTTCCAATTTTTATCTCTCTCTCTTTCTGCAGAATTGCTTAGAAAATAGCTAAGCTCTTCCTCACCATCTCCTACGTCTTCCCAACAGCTGGATTCAAAATGTGGGCGAAGGAAATAATGTTATTCCCTTTTGTTTTCACTGGCTGAATAAGAGGAGAATCTGTACCAGTGTCAGAATGACCACCTTTCTTTTTGTTGTAAAATTACTGGCCTCTTTCTCAAACATGTAGGATACCTAGGCATGTGAGAGAACATTGAGTATAACCATTTGCATTTCTTCAATGAGAAATTCTCACTGTTTTGCATCTTTAACGCAAATCTTTGGCATG